AATTAAAAGTTTAAGATAGCAAATAAATAATAAAATCTAATTTTATAAAAATAAATACTAGCGTGGTAATGGTAATATGGTATAAAAATTAAAAAAATTAAATAAACTCATGGGTTGACCCTCAACCTAACCTCCTGTGAGCCGGGTTTGAACCAGCCGAACCCAAGGCGTTTGTAGGCTAGGTTAGGTTCAGCCCCAAACTCGGGGTTAGGGTGGCATAACTAGCCTAGCATGGCCCAGCTGGTTACTTCACGGGTCGAGCCCAGCCTAGCCCATGCTCAACCCTAGTTGTTGTATGTATTATGTAATATGCAAATCTTCTTCTTACAATTCTTTATTTCTAATCTTTATTTTTCACTTGAGACACTATATCATTTTCCATTCCATGAAAAATATTCAAAGCATAAAACAAGTATAATCTGTTGTATATGGGTTTGAGTTGGGTGAAGCCAAATCTCGCTCACGGACCCATTTGTGTTAGCCACTTGCTCACGTGTAATATGAGCCACCGGATTAGTTTTGATCTAATGGTTCTCATTTGTCGATACTTGAAAGCTCATTGGTAGAGGGATTAAGTGAACTAGATAGAAACAAAGAGGGGGGAAAAGAAATAGAGAGGAGGAAAGAGAAGTTTGGAGAAGATCCATTTCTAGGGTTTCTCGAATCTTGTTGGAGGTTGAAGGAATGAGCATTCTTCTTGAGGGTGTGTCGAGCCCACCTTCTCTAAGATAGAGACTCAATGACTCATGTTGAAGTTCTTTTAGCCTTGTGTTTTTCTCCTATTGGAGGAAAGATCTCTCTTGTATTTGTAATCTCTCATTCATTATTAAAGAAGCAATTTAGCGTTGTTCTCCATGGATGTAGGCTTGTTTAGCCAAGCCACAAAAATCTTGGTGTTCATTGTGGTGGCTCTTGTTTAGCCAAGCCACAAAAATCTTGGTGTTCATTGTGGTGGCTGTTGATCCTTCTTGTTGCTATTGCCCTGTATGTTTGATTTCTTGTGTGTGGATCCCTAAGCCCACCTACTTCCCGACATAATCATGTGCATCGCATGTGCACTATACTAGTTACTATTATAAACTTAGCAAATCCCTATACAAGAATAATCTTTTAGTAAAAACGAGCATTTGCCTGAAGCTACTATATACAAGCTAGAGAAATGATAATTCCATTTGGATCCACCGAATAAATAAAAAACCGACATGCCTGTGAAGTAATTGAAGCCCTAGAGGTAGTCAACCATTTAAAGTTTTACATTGCAGAAATTTTAGATGAGCGGATTTTTTTGGTCATGAGCTCATTGTAAGCACCTTAGATCATTCATCTCCTTTCTGAGCACTCGCGCTAGTCTAATTACTAATCAACTCATCATAAACTAAGAAAATTACACTCTGCCAATAGACTTCCGATAATTATCAGTTAATAAAACGTTGCAATTTCAAGAAACAAACAAACCGTTCAAGTAAATTCCAAACACACTTAGGGCAGCCGATGCAACAGTAGAACAGTTCAATCTTTCAATCAAACCAAAAACTGAAAATTCGACATAGAATTATTGTAAAAAAGCGAAAAGATTCACCTGTTTGGCGAGGAGCTCTCGTTCGATGTTGCCAGCGGCGAAGAAAGGATTGTCGGGTCTGAATCTTCGACGGGATGCGATCAAGAACGGAAACCCTATGTCCTTCTCTTCGCCGTCCGCTTCCATTTTCACTTCGATTCGTTCGCGAGAGCTGATGGTTTTGATTTCGAAGCAGTTTTTGGGTTTTTTTTTTAACTCCATTTGGGATTTGGGAGTTGCTACTGGTCGGGTCAGGTCGGGTTGGGATTCGAAATACACCCGACCTAACTAATGACCTTTTTAAAGACTAATTTAGCACGCGAATACCTTACATGACTAATTTAGCGTGTGATAAAAATTGATTAATTATAGGGGTGCTTATCTTTGGGCCCAAAGCTTTACCTATATTTATTTATAAACCCAACTAGTTTCAGATGTACTCATAAACCCATAGAACTATGTGTATTTGCCTCTCAACCCAAAAAGCATTAATACATCCAATATATATACAATATACACAAAAATAAATTATAAACCATAAACTACCCCCTGCCTTACTCCTCCTCTCTGCTAACTTAACTCATTTTCATCTTCCCCCTATTCTCCTTGCTTTGTTTCTCTCTCCTCCTCCTCCATCTCTAAGTAGGACAAATTTTCAAAACCGACCCATTTGGGTTTTTAATTGCAAAAAACGACCGGTTTTGAAAATATTTACAAAAACCGACCTGTTTTCAGCCAGGGGCTGAAAACAGGTCGGTTTTTTTAAATTTTTTCGGGAAACTTCACGGGAGTTGAACTCCCGTGAAGCTTTTTCTCATAACAAAACTTCACGGGAGTTGAACTCCCGTGAAGTTTGGGAAAAAATTTCAAAAACCGACCCAGTTTCAACCAACTGGGTCGGTTTTTGTAATTAAAATTAAAATGGGTCGTTTTTTGCAATTAAAAACTCAAATGGGTCGGTTTTGAAAATTTGTCCTCTCTAAGTATTTAATCTCTCTCCCTCTCTCAAGACCCTCCTCCTTCAAGATGTGCTCTCTGCCATCTTCAAACTTCTCTTTCATTACAAACACTTCACCCATAGGCTTCCCCTCTCTCAACTCAGAGCCTAACAAGTAAGACTCATCTTAGTACTAGCGTTGCTAAAGGGGGGAGAGCAGGTCATCATAGTTTTTCAGGTCATCTAATGTGTTGCAACCCATTTAGTTTCATGGCCGTTATGTGTTTGATGAAATGCCCACTTGGGATTATTTGTTGTCTTGCTTAATAGTTGACTAGCTTTGTTTGGTTTCATGCCTACTATGTGTTTGATGAAATGCTCAAACTAGGTGTTTTTTTGGCTTCTTTGTTGATTAGCTTGATTTAGTTTCATGCTTGTTCATTGTTTGGTGAAATGCTCATTTGGGTTTTTTTTCTTTGTTTGCTTTCTTGATTAGCTTGAAAGATTGGAATTTCTAGGGTTTTTGAAAGGGTTTTCTGAATTTCTAGGGTTTTTGAAAGATTGGAATTTGATTTTGCAAATTTAGCATTTTTATAGTCTATACATTTGTTGGTTAATTATTTAGCTGTATGAAAATTATGTTTTGATCCTCCAAATTTGATTTGTTGACATTCTATGGCGCAAATGGAGTAATTTGCTTCGAGCTAATAGTTCCAAGTTTATTCATTCTACTGCTATCTCATTCGTTGTATTCTCTTATTATGGTAATGACCACTGTGTTGTTATGACCCTCATAACATTTCGCTAAGCTGGACCCGGTTATCTCTTTTTTTTCTTTCCATTTCATTTATAGAAGACTTGGAGTTGTAATTCTTCCAAAGCTTGTATGAAATATGGCAACCTCTTTCTCGCTTAATTATGCAATAGTATTATGTTCTAAGGTTCCTATATTTGATTGTTCTATTGACCAATTTTAATTGACCAAAAGGATTGTGCAAGACATAGAGCTCGTATCGTTGCTCTATTTCTATCTGAATGTATATTTTCTATAAGTGTAATGTTCATTGAACCGCTTTTAAACTCAACCTATTGTTCTTTTGACCCGCTTATATTTTGCTTTTAGGAAATCAACGTGATCCTAAAAGACTAATTCCCCAGATGCTAGATGCCAATTGTGATATCAAGCATTTTTTGTGTACATATATATGTTTGGAAAGTGATTTGTAAAGTCATTTGTACGAAACCTATGGGACTGTTATTGGGATTGGTTATGTAAAGTCAATTGTAAAGTCATTTTGTGCAATCAGCCACTATGGTTAAATTACTGGTTATGTAAAGTTTTGTATGCTTCTAAGTCATTGAAATTGATGGTTTATTGCACGTAAAGTTCTATGGTTGAGCGCACCAGCTACATAAAGTTTTCCCTCAAACAAAACATAATATTCTCTTACAGAGATCAGCGTGGTACACATAACCATAACACAACAAAAGGAAGAAAAGAACATCACGCATAACCTGCTACACTTACAGGATAACCCACTACACTTACAGGATATCCCGCTACACTTACAGGGTAACCTGCTATACTTACAGGGTAACCCGCTACACTTACAGTGTAACCCGCTACACTTGCAGCGTAACCCGCTACACTTGCAGCGTAACCCGCTACACTTACAGTGTAACCCGCTACACTTATAGGATAACCCGCTAAACTTACAGGATAACCCGCTACACTTATAGGATAACCCGCTACACTTACAGTGTAACCCGCTACACTTACAGGATAACCCGCTACACTTATAGTGTAACCCGCTATACTTACAGGATAACCCGCTACACTTACAGTGTAACCTATTACACTTACAGTGTAACCCACTACACTTATAGTCTAACCCGCTACACTTACAAGATAACCCGTTACACTTAGAGTGTAACCCGTTATACTTACAGGATAACTCACTACACTTACACTATAACCCGTTACACTTACATTGTAACCCACTACACTTACAATGTAAGTGTACCGGTTACACTGTAAGTATACTGGTTACACCGCTACACTTACAGTGTAACCCACTACACTTACATGATAACCCGCTACACTTACAGTGTAACCGGTACACTTACAGTATAACCGGTACACTTACAGTGTAACCGGTACACTTACATTATAAGTGTAGCGGGTTACACTGTAAGTGTAGCGGGTTACACTGTAAGTGTAGCAGGTTATCCTGTAAGTATAGCGGGTTACACTCTAAGTGTAGCGGGTTATTCTGTAAGTGTAGCGGGTTACACTGTAAGTGTAGCGGGTTATCTTGTAAGTGTAACGGGTTATCCTGTAAGTATAGCGAATTACACTGTAAGTGTAGCGGGTTATCCTGTAAGTGTAGCGGGTTACACTACAAGTGTAGCGGGTTACACTACAAGTGTAGCGGGTTACACGGTAAGTGTAGCGGGTTATCCTGTAAGTATAGCGGGTTATCCTGTAAGTATAGCGGGTTACACTGTAAGTGTAGCGGGTTTTCCTGTAGGTGTAGCAGGTTATCCTGTAAGTGTAGCGGGTTATGCGTGATGTTCTTTTCTGCCTTTTGTTGTGTTATGGTTATGTGTACCACGCTGGTCTTTGTAAGAGAATATTATGTTCTGTTTGAGGGAAAACTTTATGTAGCTAGTGCGCTCAACCATAGAACTTTACGTGCAATAAACCATCAATTTCAATGACTTAGAAGCATACAAAACTTTACATAACTAGTAATTTAACCACAGTGGCTGATTGCACAAAATGACTTTACAATTGACTTTACATAACCAATCCCAACAGCAGTCCCATAGGTTTCGTACAAATGACTTTACAAATCACTTTCCAAGCATATATATGTACACAAAAAATGCTTGATATCATAATTGGCATCTAGCATCCGGGGAATTAGTCTTTAGGATCACGTTGATTTCCTGAAAGCAAAATATAAGCGGGTCAAAAGAACAATAGGTTGAGTTTAAAAGCGGTTCAATGAACATTACACTTATAGAAAATATACCTTCAGATAGAAATAGAGCAACGATACGATCTCTATGTCTTGCACAATCCTTTTGGTCAATTGAAATTGGTCAATAGAACAATCAAATATAGGAACCTTAGAACATAATACTATTGCATAATTAAGCGAGAAAGAGGTTGCCATATTTCATACAAGCTTTGGAAGAATTACAACTCCAAGTCTTCTATAAATGAAAAGGAAAGAAAAAAAGATAACCGGGTCCAGCTTAGCGAAATGTTATGAGGGCCATAACAACACAGTGGTCATTACCATTATAAGAGAATACAGCGAATGAGATAGCAGTAGAATGAACAAACTTGGAACTATTAGCTCGAAGCAAATTACTCCATTTGCGCCATAGAATGTCAACAAATCAAATTGGGAGGATCAAAACATAATTTTCATACAGCTAAATAATTAACCAACAAATGTAAAGACTACAAAAATGCCAAATTTGCAAAATCAAATTCCAATCTTTAAAAAACCCTAGAAATTCAGAAAACCCTTTCAAAAACCCTAGAAATTCCAGTCTTTCAAGCTAATCAAGCAAGCAAACAAACAAACAAAACCCAAATGGGCATTTCACCAAACAAGGAACAAGCATGAAACTAAATCAAGCTAATCAACAAAGAAGCCAAAAAACACCTAGTTTGAGCATTTCATCAAACACATAGTAGGCATGAAACCAAACAAAGCTAGTCAACTATTAAGCAAGCCAACAAATAATCCCAAGTGGGCATTTCATCAAACACATAACGGGCATGAAACTAAAGGGGCTGCAGCACATTAGATGACCTGAAAAACTATGATGACCTGCTCTCCCCCCTTTAGCAACGCTAGTACTAAGATGGGTCTTACTTGTTAGGCTCCGAGTTGAGAGAGAGGAAGCCCATGGGTGAAGAGTCTGTAATGAAAGAGAAGTTTGAAGAGGGCAAAGAGCGGATCTTGAAGGAGGAGGGTCTTGAGAGTGGGAGAGAGATTAAATGCTTAGAGATGGAGGAGGAGGAGAGAGAAACGAAGCAATGAGAAGAGGGAGAAGATGAAAAGGAGTTAAGTTGGCAGAGAGGAGGAGTAATGAAGGGGGTAGTTTATGGTTTATAATTTATTTTTGTGTATATTGTATATATATTGGATGTATTAATGATTTTTGGGTTGAGAGGCAAATACACATAGTTCTATGGGTTTATGAGTACATCTGAAACTAGTTGGGTTTCATAGTTCTATGGGTTTATGAGTACA